ACTAACCTTTTCTATATGTGCACATTGGAAATTCTTCATAAGTGAAGTTATATGTAGGGATGGGGCCAGGGAGATAGTACAGTGGGTAAGGCTTTTGCTTAGCACAAAGCCAACCCGGGTTCAATCCCCGGCATCCCATATGGTCCCCTGAGCATGGCCTGGAGTAATTCCTGAGTGCAAAGGAGTAACCCCCGAGCATCGCTGGTGTGGTTCCAAAACAGCAAAAATGTTATACACGGGAGATGGCTAGATGGGCTGGAGTGCATGCAGGAGTGCCATGTTCGATTCCCAGCACTGCATGGCCCTCCTCCGATCATGGAAGTAATTCCCAAGCACCACTGGATATGGTCCAAAAATCAAGAATAAAGTTTCATCTTCAAGATACCTAGTTCCTCACAAAATACCCACCTTCCAAAGTACTTCCTAATAATCTCTCAGTTCTGTGATAAATTATATACTCTATTTGAGAAATGCTGTATCCAATGCTATAAAAAAATGTCCTTTTACTTTAGTGAAGGCGGAGTAGCATAGGGGTTGTTAAGGTGCTGGCCTTACATGCAGATGGTCCTGGTGTGATCCACTACACTAGATGAGGTCCCCTGAGCACAGACAAATAGCAAGGTGTGGCCCCCAAATAAAAATATCCTTACACTGGTAGATTTAAACTACTAACTGGGATGACATTCTAACAGAAAGGTAAATGGGTCATGAGATAGGCAGTTTTAAACTAAGCCAGTTTTCTAAGATCTTCTATTATTGGTGAGTTTGTATGGGGGGGTGGGGAGGGGGTGAGGGATTGAGCTACACCCAGTATTTTTCAGGGGCTATTTTTGGCTCTGTGTTTAAGAATAAATCTGGGACCCAAACTGGAATTGACTGCAAGAAGAGCAAGTGCCTTACTTTCCCGTACTATTTTTCCAGTCCTCCAAGACCGCTCTTATGTTTTGCTTTTTTGGGCCACATTTGGTAGGGCTCAGGGCTTATTCCTGGCTCTGTACTCAAGGTATTTGATCGTGGTATGACCGAGATCCAAGCACAAAAATTTGTAAATCTACAACTGTACCTCATGGTGTTTCACTAATAAAAAAGAAAAAAAAAATGTTGCAAGGATCACTCCCGGCAGGGCTCAGAGCAACATATGTGGTGCTGGGATCAAAACCCACATCAGCTGTAGTATTATTGCTTCACCTTGCCCCAAGATCTTTTAAAAATAATATATAATGTCATATATGAAAGATCTTGAATGTTTGAGCCTGAAGTTTTCTCAAAACAAAGTTTACCTTTGAATAAATCAAACTTCTAATTTGTTCTAATGAAATACTGGGAGACTAGTAAAAAGGAGTAAAAGCTGTAATGCCCTTCATTGCCTTTTAGTCAACACAGCCTACGCACCATTCCAGCAATGGGAAAAAAAGTCCAGTGACACATGCCAACTGAATAGTTCTCCCACTGCTTCCGTGTATCCAATCATAGGAAAAGAAAAATGAAATCTGTGACAGGAAAATGTGCCCCCTTATTGGGACTGGAGCAATAGCACAGCGAGTAGGGCGTTTGCCTTGCACAAGGCCAACCCTGGTTCGATTCCCAGCATCCCATATGGTTCCCTGAGCACCGCCAGGGGTGATTCCTGAGTGCAGAGCCAGGAGTAACCCTGTGCATCGCTGGGTGTGACCCAAAAAGAGAAAAAAAAAAGTGCCGCCTTATTAATTAGGCAGAAAGATAGTCATTTATCTATACAAATATTAACAATTTTACCATTTCATCTAAATTAACTTCTACCACTGCCAGACAGCTATTTAAAAAAGAGCTAAATTCCATCCATTTTGCCTACTGAAAAACAGTTACCATTAGAGCAAATGTTGGTTAACAGAGACCCCACTTTCCCTTTTATTTCTCAGGATATGACATACAGATGACATAAAATCTATTTATATGGGTAGAGGGGAGCAGGGACACAATATGGTGGTGCTCAGTGGATACTCCTAGCTGTGCTTGGGGACCACATGTAGGCAAGACAGGGAAAAAACTCAGGTCAGCCACAAGCAAGGTAAGAGAGTTTAACTCCTTTACCATCTCACTTACTCACATTATAGAAGCTGACTTAAATAAGAACTTACTCTTTCTCTACGTTTTATTTTGGGGAGGGGTCCAGACGCGCCAATGCTCAATGCTCAGGAATTGTATCTGGTGTTGCTCAGAAAACCATATGGGATGCTGCGCTGGGGAAAGAAATCAGGTTGGGCACATGTAACCCAGTGCCTTACCTGCTGTGCTATTCTCCAGCTCCCTTTCTACATACTTAACTTTTTTTTAACTTTAAAAAAAATGTAAAAATTGTATAATTTAAGGACTATGATTATTTCACTTCAGGCAAACTAAGACTTATTTGTATTTCCTTGCAAAAGGAGTAAGTACTAATATATTAGAATTCAGCAATCTGTTATTACCTTCATTTAAAGTGACACAATTCATTGAAAGTGATGCAATTCAACTCTTGACTAGTAACTTCTCAGTAAGTCAGAACTTGTTTGATAACCATGAAATTCACAACAAATAGTCACTGAGGATAAGTTACTCCTATGTTTATTAGAAAATCACAACATGTGGGGCTGGAGAGATAGTACAGCGAGTAAGAAACTCACCTTGTCCACAGACAACCCAAGTTTGATTTCTGACACCACACAGATCCCTTGAGCATTGCCAGGAGTGACTCTAAACACTGAGCCAGGAGTAAGCCTTAAGCATTTCTGGGTGTGCACCACCGACCCCTCCACCGCAATGATTCTAATAACCCAGGGTTTGTCTGATTTAAAGCCCAGGAATCAAAATACTAAAGACACTTTATCTTGGGAATCCTGGAGAAATGTACATTCCAACTCAGATATAAAATGAAAAAGTTCTATTTTTTCTTCTCCAATATCAATTTCTAAGTTGTAAAAGAAATAGGGGGGGGGGGGGCTGAAGGGATAGCACAGCAGGTAGGGCATTGGCCTTGCACACAGCCGACCCGGTTTCGATTCCCAGCATCCGGTATGGTCCCTTGAGCACCGCCAGGAATGATTCCTGAGTACTGAGCCAGGAGTAATACCTGAACACTGCCAGGTGTGACCCAAAAAGCAAAAAAAAAAAAAAAAAAAAAAAAATATGGGACCAGGCAGATACATAAGAAGTATCAGTTTGATCCTTGGCACCACATGGTGCCCATAGCACTACCAGGAACAACAAATTTCTGTATGCTTTCCAAAAACAAAAAATAATACCTGTAAACAATTTTATAAAAAAAATTCTGCATACATATATCAAATCCATTAAAGTATATTTCTGAAGAAAAATTAAGTGGCTAAAAACCAGATATGGCTTCTATATAATTGGTGTGTAAATGGAAACTAAATTTTAAAAATTAATGCTGCACTGAGGGACTGGACAGTATAATAGTTATGGCTCTAAGCACCTTGAAAAGCTCCAAAATGAATTCCAAATGATCAGATTGTATTTATCAGGACTGAAACTCATTTATCCAATAAGCTCAAAAGGCTACTTCATTATCAAACAATGGTTTATTTAAAATTTAGTTTTTTGGTACTTTCTTGATCTACCTTTCTTTCTCATGTTAACTTATTCCCAATTACTGTTGCATCCCTACAGAGAAAAAGCGAAAAGACAAATCTGAGTTAACAGTCTCAAACAGAAAAATCTACAAGGTAGGAAGACAACTAATTTCTTGCAGTGAGACTGATAACACAATCTACTTCCATGGCTAGTTCACACTTAAATGACATATCTAAGTACCCTCTCAATAGTGTTTAACACTCATTTGTTAACCACAATTTGTAAAACTCCCATTATCTCTGAACCGAGACTTGCATAAACTGAACAACCACCTCTGACAAGGTAATAAGTTCCTAAGTATTTAACTTAAACTTTTTCAACCGAAGCATAATTTGTAGGGTTCTCAGTATGTGCTTAAGTGTAGAAAGGAAAGCAAACATCCACTAAGAGAATCAAGGCCACGAAAAGATCAAACAAACAAAACTTTCCAGCCCCTAAACTTCCCAAATATTTAAAATATCCGAGAACTTTACTAAAAAGGATCTTAACACTCTGGGCTTGAGACTTTTGTTGCTATTTCCACCCACTGCAATAGTTACAGTGTCATAAAACCCACGATGAACCCCCTGAAGTTTTCATAAACAAATGACTCCGGAGAACATGGTTCAGAACAACACGGCATAGAAAAAAATAAAAATAAAAATACTGGCACCTGCTCCAAGTACCAAAATTTCAGTATTTCCTTAGGGGCAGATCCTGTATAGTCAAATCATTCGGTCAACCCTCCACTTCTTAGGTCGTTGGAGGGACACCCAAATTTTCTGATCTCTAGAAAATCATCTCAGCTCTCAGTTCATTCTCTAGCCACGGGGTGGGGGCAGGGAGGCTAAAAGTTATTTCACTTTACTGTTTCTATGTCTTGCGCGTAAGAAAAAGAAAAGGGTGGCATTAAACCACTGACACACCACGCACCTAACCTCTGAACAAAGTCTACAAAAGGGGACATGCGGAATATAATTTCATGACCGACCCTGGTGGAAATCGGAGGCCGCCAGCGCAGTGGACTGCAGCGCCTTCTTCCATATGGGAAAACCATGGGCGCAACGCCCAAGTTCCCCCGCCCGGGTCTCATCCGGGCCAGTAGCTTCCGTACCGCGAAGTTCGCACGTGGGCCGGCCCGGTCCCCGCTGTCACCTCCCGTCGCCTGTCGGCGTGCGAACCACGCCGGGGCGCGGACCCTCAGACCAGGGTCGGGACCCGGGCCGCTTCCGCCCTCGCCTAGGAAGTCCGAAAGGCCACGCTGCGCAAGTCCGCCGCAGACGGCCCGGGAGCACCCCGGGCCCAAACGCTTCCGTCCGGACCGCCGCCCGCAGGCTCGGGCGGCGCCCCAGGGCCCAGAGTCCGCCGGCCGCCCGCCGCCCGCCGCCGCGCCGAGTCCGGCCCGCACCCACCTTGACGTCTTCATCCTCGTCCTCGCCTTCCCAGCGGTCCCCGCCGGCGGTGCCGCCGCCCCCCACCTTCCGCACCGGGTCTTCCACCGTGAACGTGTCCGCGTCTACGGAAGAGAGCGAGCCGCATTAGTGCCTGCCGCGGGACGGGGCCGCGGCAGCCGGGCCCAGCCCCCGGAGCTTCTCCTCACCCCAGGAGTCGGAGTCCCCCGCCGCCGCCGCCGCGGCCGCCGCCATCTCGAGCCGGGAGTGAGCGCGCGAGGCGAGGAGGAGCGCGGAGTTAGCGCGGCGGAGGTGAGTCACCGGGTTTGCTCTCGTTGGCCGGCGCGGGGCAGGCTGGGACCGTGGCTGACTGAGCGCCGGGGTCCAGGCCCCGCCCCTGCGCGCGCGCAGGCGGGAAGGGGGCGTGGAGCCCGGCCGGCAGGCTGCGAGTCGGCGGGACGCGAGGCTGGGCGTCGGGAGGGCCCGCGACGCGGGGCGATCCTGGACGCTAACGGGGCGGGGTGAGAAGCCGCAGCCGGACGCTGACGTCCCTCAGCCTGGCCTGAGGAAGAAAGTGTAAGTGCCCGCGGAGTGGGCGGGGCGGCCCTTTACCTGGCGCTTGGCCTTCACCCGTCCCCGCGGCCGTCCCTGGCCTCCCCGCCGCACCCCGCCCGGTCGGGTGCGCTCTTCGGCGGGGGGGGTGGGGGCGGGGGTCGATGCCCCCCGCGGCGGCTGCCTCCGCTCTACCCGCCGACCTCTCGGCGCCGCGCTCAGGAGTCGCGGACTCTGCGTTCGCCTGCGGGGGCGGTGGGCGCGCGCGGTAGGGGTTCCCGCGGGGCTGGGGAGGGGTCGCCTCTGGAAGACTGGGAGTATTCTGGGCGGAAGAGCTGAAGAACGAGGGTCTCCGTACCTGAGAGCCGTCCAGCCAGTGTCCTCAGATTCAACTGCCGGTGACACGTGTGTCTCGAGTTAGTCACGGAGGAATCGAAGCGAGCTCCGGTTCTTGAGGACGGTTCCTTTCCGCGGGTGCCCGGAGAACAGTACATGGTTCATTCCTTCGCCGCGAATTTTCGCGGTTCTGCCAGCACCGGGCATCGGACTCCATCCAACCTGCCCTGGAGGAGCTCACAATCGAGTAGCAAACTGACAGGTAAACTCGTTGAAATGTCATGCAATGGGTGACTACGACCAGAAAAAAAAAAGCAACATCAGCATTGTGAGGTTAAGTGCTAAAAAGGTAACAGTGATGGGGGGGGTGGGGGGGTGGGGGGGGCCCTCCCCGGAGGCTTTGGGACCAGCTTCCCGAGGAAGGCACTGCCAAGAGCCGGAGAGTTCAGGTAACTTTCTGAAGATTAGTCTGTTAGGTGGAAAGGCTTGTTGTCTCTGACCTGACTGTGTGGCGCAATCGAGAAAAAAGGAAAAGGTAAACTGATCACAATAGAAGCTTAGGATGGGCTGAACTGCACTTCTGCCCTTTGGACTACTTAGCTACTACTTACTTATCCTTACTTAGTTAAGGATATCAGGGGCGCCAGAATTTTAGATATTTTTATTTTGTCTGTTACTGTTAACTAATTTTCAAACATTTAATACATGTGCTTGGTACATCATTCAGGTTATGAAATAGGTTATGTACACAACTGACTACCCGTTCTGTTCCTTCTACTGTAACAGCCATTATTTCACATTTCTTGTCTGTCTTTCCAGAGTCTAGATATATTTCTAAAGATGATCCGCCAAATGGTGGTCTATAATCAGCTATTAAAGTTATTTGGGGAAAACATAGCAGCTTGTTTGAAATGTAGACTCTTGGGCCCCATCCCATACTTAATGAATTAGGAACTGCCTTTTAGTAAGAGCCTCAGATGATTCTGCCCAGTATGAAGATTATTTCTTTTTTTGGCTACACCCAAGGTGCTGGAGGTAAGTGGGGAGAGAATCATACTGTGCCAGGGAGCAAACCATGGGCTCCAGCCCTTTGAACCATTATCTCTTGCCTAAGAGTGCAAACAATTTTAGGGGTCAAAACCAATAGAATTAAGGGACTTTGATAGTTGATTTTATGCGTCAACAGCTGCATAGTAAGTTTCAGGATTCCAGATCAGTGAGTGCCCCCTGAATACCTCTGGATGTGACCCATACATTGCCTTCCTACCACATACCATATATATTAATTACTTGGCTAGATCATGAGCCCATAGCTTCTCAGCAAACTTTAGTTGCTGCTATTAATATCCAGTCTTAATGGAAAACCTTAGAAGCACTCAAGAAAACAAATTTTGCTTCCAGAATGCCTTTGAACACAGCAGTTAACTTTTCTGTGGGTCCCCAGTCTTACTCATTTAATGTCTTTTGGAAATGGGGACCTTTACTGTGTCCTATACTGCTGTATTACCAGTGCCGAGCATACAGTAATTGCTCAGAAAATGTTTTTGAAGTCAAATGGTACCTGTCATAATAACAGATGAATTAAGTTTTGGATATAGATATTCCTGTGGAATCACTGTATCACTGTCATACATTGTTCATCGATTTGCTCAAGCAGATGCCAGTAACGTCTCCATTTGTCCTAGCCCTGAGATTTTAGCAGTCTCCTTCCTTGTCCTTCCCAATGGGGCCGTATTGGAAGTTCTTTTAGGGTGGAATAGCTAATAAAATTTTCTAGCACACATTTGGAATTAGAGATGTTTTTTGGACTGCACAGAATTAGGAGTCTGATCATTCCATCTGTGGTAGATGGAATAGTGTGAAGTAATTGGAAATAGGCTGGAATGAGAAGAAACCTTGAAGGACATCAGCATGTAAGGAGGAGCAGTCAGAGGGAAAAAGCATAGGATTGTCAGTTGGTTCCTACAGTTGTATCATTCCAATTCTGTGTTTTGTGGGTTGCTTTTTCATGTATATGTGAAGAAAAAATATTTTAAAAGGGAGATAAAACATGCATAAGAGAGAAGGGACTTTTCCAGAAAGAAAAGAAATTCCACACCCCAAATTGATAGATGTACAAGTCCAGAGTAGAATGTGCCATGTTTGTTTTTCTTTTAGTATAAAAATAACTATTTTGTGGGTAGTGGAGAGCTGCCTAGCTGTGATCAGGTGCCATTGGTCACTCCTGGCACATTTGGCCTGGAAAGAAGGGCTTGAAAGTTCAATACCAGGGCCTGGTGATTTAGTGCTGCTGTTAGGGGCCACCAGGACCACAGCCAGAGATGCTTGACGGGCATATGGTGTCAGGTATTGAATTTGGAGTCTTGCATAGAAGACAGGTGCTCAGCCCATTTGAGTACTTTCTTTGACTCTCCATTGACCCCACCACACACACTTTGAAAATTTATTTTTGGTCTTGGTGCTGAACCTGGCAGTACTCAGTGCTTATTCCTGGCAGGGGGGGAGCCAGATGTGCCAGAGGTAGAACCCAGGTCGGCCTCATGCAAAGGAAGTCACCCTACAAACTGTACTATTGCTTCAGCCCTAAGGCATACATTTAAATACTTTGTAATATAGTATATTTTTTAAAGGACTATTGGAAGTCAGGAGACCTGGGTTCTAATCATTGAGATGATGAAGCCATGTTGAACAGAAGACAGATCTCGTCAGGTGAGGGGTAGGGAAGCTCACAGTGATTCCTTGTTTCCTGGAAATTGGAGTAGTTTGTACTTTATACAAGAGTAAGTGGGCTCTCAGAGCCACTTTTGCATCCTTTGGGAAAGGGATCAGAAGCAGATTAATGAATCTAACAAAGCTTTAACTTTTAAGGTCGCTCATTGCATGAACCCTTGTTTCTTGAAGAAAACAGTTTAAACTGTAACTTCAAACCATGTACGATTTGGTACTGTCTCCAAGTCCAAATATAAGTAACCCAGTAGAACTACGAATTTTTGTAGTAGTTTATCTCCATAGATGATCCCTCAGTGAACAATATACAATTGCTGATGTCTCCCCTTCAATTTGGACCAGACTTTTTTTATTCATTTTTTATTAATAAGACAAAAGTGACACCCAAAGGTATGTCATAACAACTTAGCTTTTGGAATGCTCCCTCTGGTTGAAACCTGCTACCAGTTTTGTATTTTAGGGCTATATCTGGCAATGCTCAGTGCTTACTCCTGGGATTTGTGCTCAGACTTGGACGCAGATTTGTGCTCAAATATGGCTTGGACTACTATATTTGGTGTCAGGGATTGAACCCAGACAAGCACCCTACCCGCTGTACTATCTTGCCAACCCCGCTGCCATTTTATTGGGGGTGGGGGGGGGCATACCTGGCAATGCTCAGAGATTAACCACCTAGTTCTGCACTCAGGAATTACTCCTGGGGACCACATGAGATATTGGGGATCGATCCTGGGTTGGCTGTATGCAAGGCAAATAACCTTCCTGCTGTACTATCACTCTGGCCCCTCATTTTTTTTTGTTTTGGGAAAATATAAAAATGGCCAGTCAGGTGTTTGCCTTGCATGTGGCTGACCCAGATTAGATCCCTGGCACCCCAAATAGTCCCGAGTCCTACCAGGAGTGATCTCTGAGCACAGAGCCAGAAGCCAGCCTTGAGCATGCTGGTTGTGGCCCAAAAAGGTTATTTGTTCTCATAAAAATTTAGCCTCTCAAGATTTTGTATCTATATATGTGCTACTTTTTTAGCTAAAACTAAAAAAAGGATTTACTTAAAGATACTGGTGTACCTCTTGTGTTGCTGGGAATCTAACCCAGGTTGGCACCTGCAAGGCAAGTGCCCAACCTGTTGTACTATCACCTCAGCCTTCAGGCTCTATTTAAATGTTTGTTGCTGTATTACCTAGGTTCTGATCCCATTTCTGACTGTGAAAAATATCACTCATTTTGACATATTTCATTCCAGTAGGAATTCTAAAGTACTTTGATACTGCGTTACCAAGAACATATTGTTGGCTAAATTGACTTAGAAACTGTATAAACATGCTTGTACAAGAATGTTAAAGTCTTGGGAAGTATTTTGTAGTTATTCCCATTTCAAGTCTCTCTTCCAGTATATCTAAGCTCTTAGAGCCTCAGCCTTCTAAGAGCCTGTTCCCTTGTTCTTTTGGTTTTGGTTTGAAGGTCAAACCTGGTGGCGTTCCAGGGGCTATTCCTGGCTCAGTGCTTGCTTGGCCATGCTCAAGGGACCACAGTGCCAGGGATTGGACCCAAGCTTCTGCATGCAAAGCATAAACTATATGTACTGAGCTCTCAGTTTGCCTGTTTTTCTATATCTGAAATTGACTTCCTTCATCACAAGGGAAGTAATGTGAAAAACTGTGCACTTTAACAAAGTACTGTACAAACATGTTAAATTGACTGTAATAATTGATAAAATCTCATCAAAGAAAAGTGCTTCCATAAAAGTT